ATCCAATCAATAATTCATTTGTCTTCCATATGCTTCACAGAAGTTGAAGCTGGGACAGGCATAAGACAGAATGGAAAGGTAGTTAGAGAGAAAGTACTGAGAGAGGCTGACACTGAGAAGCATGTGAGGTTAGGAGGAAGCTATCCCCCCTCTTGTTCCAAGTGTTGTATAAGGGGAAACTCATCACAAAGATGCTTCCAGTCTCTCTCCATCCTCTTATGACCCTTGCTCAGGAGAAAAGACAGCAACTATCTGATGTACAAGTCTGTGAAGAATCACAGCTCATACAGGACACAGCCCCCTCTTTCCTCTCTCCCTCCTCTCTCTCCTTTCTTGCTCCTCTCTTCTCTTTCTCCTATCCTCTCTCATCTACTTTCCCTCTCCTCCCTCCCTCCCTCCTTCTCTTGACAGCTGCCAATATTCTCTGCTCTGGGTTAGCAGAAAAAATGGAGGGGGTGAGGGTTCTAGGAATGGAAGTTCACCACATGACAGAGCAATGTTCCCAAAGCCAAAGATAAAAAAAAATTCAGCCATGTTACCCCTTTGACTCCATGCCTTAGTTCTCAATGTAAGTTGGGTAGAGAGTCAGTGATTACTGACTTCCAAAGCCCTATGTACCATCACTGCTTCTCATTTCTACAAGTGTTCAACACTATTTCGTTTCTATGCCATTCAGTTATTATCTAGCCTTGCCAAATTCCAGGGAAGGACTGTTTTATCACTTTTACTACATAAAAAACCTATAGAATCTATATATTAAATGACTTATCTAAAATCACTTAATAAATTAAGTCGATCACTTACAAGGAAAAAGTCAGATCCCTTAACATAGATGTGATTTAGAGCAAATAGAATAATTGAAATCCATTTTTCTTTAGCAGGGTGGGATAGGGGAGTTGTCAATGCTGAAAATCAAAAATCAATTTTCTGTCATGTAAGAGGAGCTATTCTATTTGGTTTGGGATAGAAGCATTATGTACAATGTTCCCCCACCTAACTTTTCTCATTAACAGTGAGGATAAAAAAAGAAACTGTGGAAAAGGAGGAAAATATGGGGAAAAAACTTTTCTGAGTCTAGGAAATCATGCATTTATATCTCATTTATGAAAGAATTACTGTGGGTCTCCTAAGTGCCAGGCACTGATCTCAGAATACAAAGTTGAATACAACTCCTGAATGATGAACTGTTTTTTCCTTTCTGAAAATTATATTGTAACCCAGTTCTGATAAGACAATGTTTCATCAATAGGTACAACCATCAATATGTTCTCTTCGTGGAGACAAGAGTGACTCTGTGGTTCCAGCTGGGATCTTTTATCTAAGATCCTAGTCATCCAGTAAAAGAATAGACTAAATAGTCCCAATTCAATGCAGAATATAACATGGCTCATGTTCTTTGATTGGAAAGCACACCTCCAAGATGCTCAGCTACCCACCCACAAATGCAAAGCAAAGCATGGGTTGCCACTAGGCTAGGAAATACAAATAAGATGTTCTTAAATTCAGAGAAGAAAATGAGTACTTAGCTGCAGATTCAACAAAATGAATGGGCACCCTACTTAAAATGAACACTTTTACAAGTTCAAGTTCACTTAAGAGAAATGGTACACATCATAAAATCCTTCTAATTTGTTACTCATTAGAAAGACTGGCTGGCATGCAAACTATACTTATTCAACATCTAAGTCATAATTGGAGTTCCAGAAGCTGGTTATTTTCCTTGGATGTCAGTTTTGTTTCCTTTTTCAGCAATCATATGTTTTGGGCTAAAATGGAATTGTGTGCCATTTGGTGGTGGCCCATGTAAAAGCTTGAGAAGACTTGACTCACAATGGCTTCATAAGCAGGTGAATGTTTTGCTCATATAGAATCATCATCAGCCTATCACTGACCACCATAGGTAGGCAATTCACAACAAAGTATGAGTAGCCCAATGATATCAGAGCCAATGTGGCTGTTGGTCTCAACCTTCTCTCATGTTTTCAGCACTATGACAAAATGAATGAGCACTCTTGGAGCAATTAACACCTTTACAAATTCAAGTTTACTTAAGAGAAAGGTTACACGTTATAAGAGCTTTCTAATGTGTGACAAATTAGGAAGACTTGCTGGCATGAAAAAGTGAAAAATCAGGATGAAAACATATGGCTTTTTTCTTCTTTGTTTTTCTTTCTTGTGAGGACAGAATGGGAAGGGAGGTTCCATGCAGCCTTCAGTGAGACCTTTCCTTTATCTAATCTTTGCAATGTTCCCAGAAAGTAAACAGTACTGAGCACTTTTTCCCCCCACATATGAAAAAGAAAGCTGCAATGTTAAATAACGTGTACTACATGTCCTCCTCCAGTTCCTCTAGTAAAATGTCTTATTCTCTGAATCAGTGTTTCTCAATGAACTTGACTAAACTGCATTGCTTGGTCTTGGTCGGGAAACTTTGTGTAGGATGCTCATGAAAATCGGGATATTTAACATCACTGGGCCATGGTCACAAAGTACTAATCACAGCCTTTCCTGCCCCCAACCACCAGTACCAGTTCCTCAGCATCTCAAATGTGTCCTAGGAAGACAATGCTACTCTGAGCAGTAGATAAAAAGAACAGATCCTGGTTATTTTTATTATCAAAACTAAAGGCTATGAAGAGGAGTATTTCTTTTTAAAGCTCTTTGTTTTCAAATCTCTCCAAAGAGCTTTATTTGATAACATTTGGGTTTCTAAGAAAGACTTCAGCATCTTACGGAGCCAGTTACCAAAGCTCCATGAACATATTGACCATGAAATCCCTAAATATTTTCTGAGCATATATTAAGGCCAGATTCTGTGCTACTGGCTGGGAAGTTTAAATTCCACAGAGATTTTCCTGAGTCTCAGAGTGTAGTGAAACAGATTAAGGGTGGAATGTGTTGGGATAGATTTAAATTCTAGTTCAAGGGAAGCTCAGTGCAGGAAGTTCACAAAACTCTGGGAGGGCAAAGCAACCAAGATGGCTAGGATAGGTTCCCAGAGGAACTGAAATTCTTCTTGAACCTTGAAAGACTCCATGGGATTAGCAAGCCAAGCCCCAGTCCACGTCAAGAAAACTACACTTACAAAGACTGAGACAGAAATCAATTGCAGCAAAGGTTTAAAACACTTCCTTCACTGCATATCTTGAGACTTATTGTGATGCACACCTGCGATCTTCTGTTTATGCATTTTCACTAGACAAGTCATACATACAAAAAAAAAGATAAATAAGCTCTCTAAAGTTCAGATGTACTTTTTTTTAGAGCACTTGTTTTGCTAAGGTCTGGTTTCACTGGTATAGTCACCCATAGGACAAGAAATCTGACTAATTCTATACTTCTTACAGTGAACAGGAAATTATCTTCAAGAACTCCATGGCCTGCCAACAGGTGGGAGTGTCACTCATGTGGGGACATCAATGGGTAAGGTGGCAGAGTACCAGTAAGTCAACCTACTGTTTTCAAAGTCAATATGAACACATAAACTTTGCCTTATGTGGCATCAGAAGTCTAGTCTATCAATTTTACATCATGCAAAAAGCAAGACTGCACTACAACATGTTTGTAGAGAAAAGGCTAGGAAGGAAAGCTTTTGGTTGTCTGTGTTTTAATTTCAGAGCTATCTACATCTATCTTTTTTTAATGATAGAAAGAGAGAGAGAGATCTCGTTTGTTGATACAGTTGGGAAGCTGAATGTGGTCAGATAGGGATCTCTGAACCTTAGACCACCCAATGTCAGTAGTTTGCTGGGTTTATGGGTGCTGAGTGTACGAATTTGGTTGTACTACTTCAGGTTGTTGAGACAGTAGTTATAAAGAAAGCAAGAACCAGATTGTTTCAGTTTCTCTCTCCTGGGGCAGGGAGTGGTGGCAGAAGCAAATAAACCCTCTCTTCTTGCTTCTAGCAAGCAAGGAACAAGCTCATTTCCCCCTTGGCAAGGAGCCTAAAGCAGCTGGCAAGCATGCCTTCTTTTTCCTACCTCTGTTCCCCTCTGACCCAAGATGCACTCAGGAACCATAGTTCTAGAGTGAAAGTAGGCCTCGTTTTTCCATTCCATTGGATCATTCAGGCTCCGTTTGATATTAGGAACACTTCTAGTTCACATATTCGCCCTGCTCTCAAAACTCCCCCTAAACAAAGAGACCTGTGTTTCAAAGTAAGTGAAACTGAGATTTAAAAAGAAAACAAAACAAAAATAACCTGGGGATCGCTCACATCATTACCTGAGCCCATTTTCTTTTTTTTAAACCAGGAAGTTGGAAGGTGGCAGGGCTGTGTGGACCCAACAGCAAATCCCAAACTCAAAATTACACAAGGGAAGAGGAAGGTAGTAAAGGATTACCCCGCAAATTCTAAGAGAGGCTGCTTGTCTTTTCTCCCTGGCTGATGACAAGGCTTCCTCCTCTCTGTAAACTTTGCTAGCCCCAGGTAGGACTGTATACACAGAGGCGGGTGTAAGGGCACTGTTCCCCGTGGGTGCTTTGGTGTAGATGCTGCTGGGCACAACAGAACAAGGGGCCCTCAACCCGATCGCACCCCAAGCTTGCGGATGACGCACCTGGGCCAGGGACTTCTCCCACATGTGGATGGCAAAGCAAGCATCCCCAGATTGGTGGCCACTTGGTCGGCCCTAGCCAAAAGTGACAGGCAAAGGGACACCTTAGGACTGTAGCCTCACGCCGGATCTCTCCCATTCTCCCCCAATTCCACACACACACACACCCGCCCACCCCTGCACAATCGCTCTGCCGTTAGGTGCACTTTCCATCTCCTACCCTAAAGTCTGGTGCACCTGCGTGTCTATCTCCAAAGCAACTGACTAGGGCGCCTCCTGGCCTTCCGCGGCTCAGGTGGATGCCCAGTGGCTCGAGGGAAAGGGGGCCCTCTCCCCGCCACCCCCTTTCCTCTCCTCCCCACCATAGCTGAGCTTCGGCGGGGATGTGTGGGTTGGGGTGCGCGGGTTTAGAGGGAGCTTAAAATGCCCCCAAGCGTCCCTTACCTTCCACAGCCATTCTCTCAGAGCTTCCCTAACGCATGCATAATTTTCTTGGCCGAGGTACTCCGCCTGCCCCGCGCTCCCCCCGCCCCTCGCCTTCGCCTAAATATTCTGCGCTCATCTGCTCCAGGACCAACCTGCCGCGGTCACGCAAAGCGAGCAGCCGGCTCCCGGCTCCGCGCAGGGCCAGCTGGGAAGTGTAGTCCGTTCTCTTCACAGCCACTTACCCCCCTCCCCCTCACCCCAGAGGACACCCCAAGTTCCCCCACGAGCCACGATTCCGCCATCACCCTCAAGCCTCAGACCTCTTTCAGTGAATTCAAACGAAGTATTCCTTTGGGGGGGAAGGGGATTGAGGAGGGAGCGTGGCAACCCTTGGAGGTGACGGAGACTACAAATCCCAAGATGCAGTGCGGCGGGATTCGTTGGGCGCTAAAAGGAGGGACTGGTGATTGAAACCTTTCCTGTCAATTAGGGGCTTTGGGTATACCTGGCCACCCTGGTGGGCCTGGAGGCAGCAGGTGTGCTGGTTTGTGCTGTGTACTCCTCATTTGCTCTTGGATCTTGCGTCACCCGTTTGGTGAGAGCAGAGCTACCAGCTGCCTGTGGCTCTCCACTGAGGCCAGAGACCTGCTGGGGAGGTTCATTTGAAAGTTGGCTCTTTTGCACCCTGAGCTGTGGGGTTGGTGGGGAGACTCACCAGGTGAGACAGTATCTCCTGATCCTCCAGTGTATTTCCTGCAGCTAAATGCCGAATGCGGAGGAGAGGAGGAAGTGGCTTTAAAAACCTCCAACAAGCAATAGCCGCAAAGAGTTAGTATGAGCAAATAATACAGGAGCCAGGATTCCACTGGAGGACAGATGACCAAGGACTTCTATCTGACTTCCAAGGTGAGAGACCTGGGGTCTCCTGGCGGCCTATGATAGGCTCCAATCCTTAATGGTGTCTAAGAATGAGTGTTCTTTCAACTTCTGAACCTATACCCTACCTGCCTGGACTGATAGAAAGATAAGGGGAAGTCATAGGAATGGCAGTAGAATTCTAGAGCTGGTAAATATTGACAAAATCTAAGCATCTATTTTTTTCCTTTTGAATGAGGAAATGCAGATACAGGCATGGCACATAGGTATAAATCAATGTCCTTGAACTCCAGACTAGCTTAAGATTAAATTGCTTGAGCTCAAAAAGCCATAACTACCCAGCCCCTCAACTTTGCTAGGCACTCTCCACTATCTTGTTTATAAAACGCCCACGGAAAAAAACCAAAACCCAAAATATAAAGATCCTTAGACAAAAATCTTAGTCATAAGAATCTCTCTCTCTCTCTCTCATTCTCTCTCTTCTTCATTCCCTCTCTCCCTCTCTTGTGCTGATCCTGAGGCTTGAACTCAGGACCTAGATGCTGTCCCTGAGATTCTTTTTCTCAAAGTTAGCACTCTACCGTTTGAACCACAATCCTCAGATCCCAGCCTCCTGTGTAGCTGGTAGCTGAGCCACCAGTACCTGGCTAGAATCTTTTCCTCAAAACAATCTTGTTTCTGAATGTATATATGCATACCTGGTTTTTTTATATTTGCTTCTAAGTACCTGCTTAGTCTTTCTGTTCAGTAATAAATATGACTGTATATACATAGTTCAGAAAATACTTGCATGTAACTCCAAAATATCCTTTGCGATAGATTTTACTGCTGAGTCCATGAAGCCGTGTACAAATCAAACCTAAGGCTTCTATAAACAGTAGAGAGAGAGACCTGTTTAGTGAGACACAATTTTCATGGAGACAAGAATTCTCCAAGCTAAATTTTCTCTGGCCTGGGCTATATAAAAATCATGAAAACATTGCCTTGAATGCATGGAAAAAAACAGGTGATGTATGTCAATTTGGAAAGATATTAAAGACAAAACTAAAGAGATTTTTGAAATAACAGTGCTTTTCAGTGGACTTAATATTTGAATACCAAGATCTTTAAAAGCTTAAAATGACATCAATAACTGGGGATGAATATGACCAAAAGTATTCTCTCTCCTTGTATATAACACACACACACACACACACACACACACATCTCTGTGTGTGTATTTGTGAAATATTATAATGAAACCCACTTCAAGCTGTTAAAATGGAGGGGAGACACAGAGCTAAGGAAGTGACAGAGGGATGAATTTGATCAAAGTACATTATATGCCTGTTTGGAAATATCACAATGGAACCTTTTGTACAATTTACAAAAATAAATAAGTAATGAAAACTATTCCAAATTAAAGAAGAAAATACACAAATGCCTTTCAGCTTTGCTCAAAAATATAACTACTTACAGATTTTTGTAAACTTAAGTGCCCCCTGCTCAAAGCCCTAAGGTAGGGCTTGAAGGTGTTTTTAGCCAGAGTTGAGAGCTATTGATATCACCTTGATCCTGTAATTGTAAGAAACCAGTGACCTGAACAAGCTTGAAGGGAGAAATTTCCCTGGAGACATCAGATAAGCACATAGCCCAGCTGACACCTTGATTGGCATCTTATAAACCTGTGCAGTGATCACAAATGACCTCTCTCAAATGCCCAAGCTACAAAATTGTGAGCTAATAAGTATATATGGTTTTAAATTACCAACTTTGTGATAATTTGTTATTCAACAATAGAAATAAATCTTGAATGAATCCTGTATTTAGACCATATCCTAGCCTTGGTTCTTGTAGGCAGAGACAGTTAAAATAATTATGACAGCAGTACCAATACTTTCAAAGCAAGACTCTGGAGTAGAACCCTCACCCTGTCCCCAGCATTCTTTCCTCTTTTTCCTAGTTCTTCAGGTGATTGGAATCTATAACTTGTATTGTAATCACCTTAAAGAGAGAAAATTTTGCCTGAATAAGAAGAGGAGCTACCTTGTTGCTATTATTACCTTGCTGGAATCAGACATCCTGACTCTGGTGATTCTGAGTTGTTTCTCTGTGGATGGGAGATTGACAACTTGGCAGTGTTGGTTCTCATCAAGCTGGAAGAAAGACAGTGGGAGTGGATTTATGTATAGCACTTACTTAGAAAGGCACCTGGCTCTTAGTTAACATACACTTGATAGTAAGGGAGCTAAAGCATACAACAAAGTACCTCGTCCCTTTAAGTTCTCAAACATATCACCTTTATTTCCTTTTCTACATGTAATTATTCATCAATTATCATGAAGTATATGTCATTCTTTTCTCTCTCATTTCAATCTATTATATTTATTCACAAACATATATTAAGTAATCAACATGGATTCAATAATTCTGTGGGCCTAGGTAATCCTAGATAAGCTCATACCCTTAATAAGCAGGGGACTCATGATGAGGGGAAGAAACAGGAGATGGGTAGGTAAGCAAATTGACTGTTAAACAGCATGCGATAAAGGATATCTATGGTCAGTATGAGTTAATTTTAGGGCTGGGAAGGTGGCTCAGTGGTAGAGTGTTTGCCTCACATGCATGAGGCCCTGGGTTTGATTCCTTAGCACCACATAAGCAGAAGAAGCTGGAAGTGGTGCTATGTCTTAAGTGGTAGAGCACTAGCCTGAAGCTGAAGAGCTGAGGGACAGTGCCCAGGCCCAGAGTTCAAGCCCCACGACCGACCAAAAAAAAAAAAAAAAGGCAGCAAGAAAGGAGCCAAGATAAAAGTGGTTGACCCATTTTCTTAGGAAGATTGGTACGAGTGTAAACACTAGCCACGTTCAATATAAGAAATGTTGGGAAAACATTAGTCACAAGGACTCAAGGAACCCAAATCACTTCTGATGACCTCAAGGGCTGGATATTTGAAGTGAGCCTCAGTGACCTGCAGAGTGATGAAGTTACATTTAGACAATTCAAGATAATTCCTGAGGATGTTCAGGGCAAGAACTGCCTGACCAACTTCTATGGCATAGATCTCATCTGAGGTACAGTGTGCTCCATACTCCAAAAGTGGCAGATCACAATGGAAGCTCATGTTGATGTCAAGACTGCAGGTGGTTATTTGCTTCATCTGTTCTGTGATGGTTTTACCAAAAAATGCAACAATCAGATCTCAAGACCTCCTGTGCTCAGCACCAACAGGCCTGCCAAACCTGGAAGAAAATGATAGAATGCATGACCAGAGAAACGCAAATGACTTGAAAAAAATAGTTAATGAATTGATTCCAGACAGTCTTGGGAAAGTCATAGACAAGTCTTGCTAGTCTATTTATCTGCTTCATGATGTCTTTGTTAGAAAAGTTGAGCAAGCTGGTGGATACAAATCACCAATCCAAGAGCAGATTCATATATGAAGGTGGTAAGAAGTGTCCAAAAGTACAAATATATTGTGTCCCAATCTGAGAGTTTTGGCTTTTCCTCTGAAAGTAGATGAAAAACAATGAGGAACAATGAGGGATCTAAGTATTCAGATTTTCCCAGCTCACAACTATATTGGTACAAAGTACAAGGGTGAACCAATGCAACATCAGTATCCACAATACAATATGTTGGAAATTATCTGTACAGCTTGGGGGTGGGAGGGTCGGGGAGAGGGGAAGGGGAAAAATGAGGGAAGGAGTGACACATTTGACAAGAAATGTACCTATTACCTTATGTAACTGTAACCCCGCTGTACATCACCTGACAATAAAAACAAGAAATAAAAGCTAGTGGTGTATATGCATAGAAACCAACACTAGATTCTGATATAAACTTAGCAGGCAGGATATTATTTCTCTATTTACCAGTGTTTAGTTAACAATTTATTACTAGCATAGCAACAAAAATAATAGACTATGAACTGATTCTGTGCTAGAAGCCACAATGTAAATTCTCTACCTTTCTCACTTTTCTAGCACTGGATCAGGGAGAGAATTTGATTTAATTGCTAAAGATGATTTGTTCATATGATTCAATTAGAGCAGGACCTGAGAAGTTCTTCAGGATGTCCATTCTTTTTCTTTATTTATACATTCTTTATTCAGTGTGATTATGGTCCAATCACAAAACTAATATTTTAGCCTTCCTTGTGGAACTAATTTCTGGCCAAGTGAATCTAATAAATGATGGAAACTTCTTAAAAATATATTGTTTATTATTATTATTAT